ATATGCTCTGATATTTAACACGCTGAAAGCACACCTGCTGCAGAAGACTCTGATCCAGCAAGCTCTGATCACCATCAGAAGACTCTGACCCAATTAGACTCTGATGAACTTGCTGAAAACTGAAGAAGAAATATTCAAAGATTATATCTGTTGGAGTAAATCAAACGTCTCTTTCCTTATTTATGCTAGACACAAGAACACAGGCAAAAAGGATTTTTCTGTGCTTTCTTCTTCTAGGAAAGGTCACTTGATGTGAAGACAAAAAGGCTCAGACCTTTTGGACACTCTTCTCAACGTGCAACTCACCTTGGATCAGCTGCCTATAAAAGCAAGACTCCACCAAATTCTTTAGTTAGACATTTTGCTGAAAAGAAATTAAAACATTCAAGCTCTCATTATTTCATATTCATTCTTAGAATTAATTTCATTGTACTTAAACTTAAGAGAAATATCACAGTTGTGATAAGAGCTTTTTAGAAGCATTCTTACTCTTGTATTAAATTTACATTGATTGTAAAGGATTTCCTTAAGAGGATTCAGTTGGAATCAGTAGCTCTTGAGAAGACTAAGAACAGTTGTTCTTAGGTGTTACTATTGTAATCTGTTTGATTAAATAGTGGATTAAGTCCTTGTTTGAGAAAGGCAAATCACTCTAGGAAGGGTGGACTGGAGTAGTTGAGTTCAACGAACCAGGATAAAAATAATTGTGTTTTAATTCTAAGTTTTAATCTTTCATACTTATTCAACCCCCCTTCTAAGTATTATCTCACCTTCAGATTGTTTTGGCCAGGGAGAGTGGGAAGACTCTGTTGAAGGTCTCCAGTGCACTATTATGCAGAGGGAGTTGCTTGTTGAAGGGTTACTCACTCGGCCTGATCATCCCAAAACGAAGAAGTTGCTAGAAGAGTTTCGCGCCCGCTGTCGCACTTGACTATCTTTATAACCCTTTGTATTTTCTGATCTTTGCTGTAGGCTGACCATCACCAGGCTTGTTGGTTGAGGTCATGCTATTGATCCCCCATGTATTCAGTAACATTGTATTGCTGCCTTGTTGGGCCTTATATATATATATATATGAGATGTTATTTCAATGACTGGATCCAGACTTATTGTTATCAGCACTGGCACTAGAATCGGGGGAGAAGTCTCCCTAAAAGCACAGACACACGTTTGCATTTGCATAAATCATGTGCATAGCAGGTACCTTGAGCTGTTTCCCTAACCCTCTGTCGATGCAGGTTTCAGGATTGTCGATCAGCGAATTCATCGCTACTCTACCAGAAGTAACTACAAGAAAGCTATGAATCAAATGCAAACTGAGATGCAGGAGATGCACGACAGGATGACGCAGTTCATGCAGGTGATGGAAACTGTGGCCAAGGACCAAGAGCAACTTCAGACTCTGGTGCAACCTCTGATTGCACGAGTCGATGGTAATGGTGTGCTACATGGCAGAGTTGCTACTGACCCTCCTCATGGCGAGACTCCCCTAGCGGGTGATGCTGTACCAGTGGTTGTCCTCAATACTACTGAGAACAGTAATAGAGCTGGGAATGAGAGTGTGATTGGTAATGGTAACAGGCATGTGGAAACCAACGGAAATGTTGGAGCTGGAAATGTTGGGTTTAATGTGGGAGCTGGAAACGCTGGTTTTGGTGTTGGTGCTAGGAACACTGGTGTAGGTATTGGTGTTGGCAATGCTGGTTTTGGTGGTGCCAATCAGGGTTATGGTAATCAGGGCTTTGGTAACGCAGGTTTTGGCAACGCGAGCAACAACGGTGTCTACAACGCTGGTTTTGGGCCAGGTGCTGGCAATCAGGGCTTTGGTAATGCGGGGTATGGTCCCAGGTTCAATCAGACTGGCTTTGGTCCTAATGCTGCTTACGCTGGGTATGATAATGAGGATTCTCATTGGGGCGAGGATCGTCAAGAAGATGCTTTCCCTCCGCCGGCCAGGGATCTCGAGATGCCCATAACAAGTATAAGATGTGCGTCAGTGCTTATTTGCTTTATAGATTAGGTGGTCCCTCAAGCAGTTGAATAGTCAAATGATGTACATCATATTTAACATCTTAAGTCCCTTATTAATTCATGTATATCAAGAGTTTCCCTTCATTAAATAATTAAGTGCAAGATTGCATCATGACAAGCTTATCAAGCCTCAAGATCTTCAGTGCACCAAAATTAGGGTTTTGACCTAATTCAGTCCCTGATTGACTTTTGGAGCAATGTATGATCAAAAACCTCAAGATATGTTTCAAGGACCTCAAATGCCTCATATTAGTCCATTCATATGATTGGATTAACCCAAAGAACTTGATTCATAAGAAATACAAGGATTCAAATTCATCTAGACCACAAACTAGAATTTTTGATGAAAAGTCAACTACACCTTTGACTTTTGACTAAGACGTGATCTCAAACCTTGGGACATGACTCAATACACTCAAAAACACCTTTGGAGTCCATCCATAGTGTTCAAATAGTCCAAGGGTTTGGTTTCAATAAAAGATCACAAAATTCAAGTTCCTTTGATACAAAAGTCAACTATGGTCAAAATAAAGTTTGACTTTTGAAGATTTTGGTCAACCATGGTTTATTCAAGTCAAGAATGATGATAATATGTGATTTGGGTCATGATTGATAAAAAAAATCAAGATAAGTGAGGTTACTTGAAAAAAGGGCAACCATGAAGAAATGAATTTTTTTCTAAGTTATGAGAAAACCCTAATTCGATGCTAACTTGCCAAGGCCATAACTTCCAATCCTAGTAACCATTTTCTTTGATCCAAAGATCAAATTAAAGAGCTTGTTTCATACTACAACTTTGTCTTTGAGGGTGAAATCTCAAAAAATGCATAGATTAAGAGATATGAAGCAATGAAGTTGGAGGTTCCATACTTTTTGAACCTAAACACTTAGTGAAATTTTAGGCAGAATCTATCTTGTATTGAAGCCAACTTTAGGGCTATTTTTCACTACGATCCACATTGATTCAAGACAAACCTTGAACATAAAACTTGAAGTATATTATACCAGCTTTCCAAAATGATCAAGAACATCAAAATCCTTTACTTGAGCAAGAAGTTATGGATGCTGCAACAAGGCTCGATCAAGCTGAAATTCCAAGACAGGTTTGCAACATGCTTGTGCCACGCGACTTGGATAAGCCTTGCAAGCCTAAAATCTTCACAAGGTCAATGCCAAAATGATCACAAAACATGTGCTCTCCATAGTATAACTGAATTTTCAAAGTTTCATCACTTGGCATGTGAAAAAAATCATTTTAAAAGCTATGAAGTGAGGTTTTGTCCTCTAGCATTAAAATGGAATAATGATTTTGAGCAAAAACCCTCCAATATGTTAGAACTTGATCAGAGAACCAAGGGATGGGATGAAACCATGAGGAACCAAGCTCAAAAGATCATAACTTGAGTCATGTGAAGAATAACCCACGTGTGCCTTGCCTTTTAAGTTATAGGTACATGACATCATTTGATGGATATTAGCCTACATCCAAATCCTTTCAAATTCAAAATATATGATGTATTTCTCCTATAAATAGAGGTCATTCTAAACATTATAACCACACCAAAACATTGCAAGAAGCCTGTTTTCTCCAAGTCCCCTCCTTTCCATATTTCAAAGCTTCTAAGAGAGTCAAGACTTAGAACTTCAATTCCAAGTAACCTCTGTCCAAACCAGTGATCCTAACACTTCATATAAGCATTTAAAATTTCTTCTGATGCTAGGTTTTGAGGTCCTTAGTTCATGGCTTCATTCATCAGTCATTTTTTGTTTTTATCATAAGCATGCATCATCTCTTGGTCATTGAATCTCATCTTCATATAATAAACTCAAAGTTAACAAATACCAAAGTCAAAGCAAAGTCAACAAAATAGTAACTTGAGCTAAAAGACAGAGGTTATTTCCTTTTTTATATTTCTATTTATTTTTCGTGCATCATGTGCATTGCATTATTTACCGTTCATCACACATTTGTCCATCGTATTTTTAAAGTCAATTTAAAGGTCAAAATAATTAAAAAAACAAAAGATAAATGTGAACTTACACACGAGGAAGGAGAGATTTTTGAATTGCATCATGTCGTTCATTCATTATATTAATCATTTATATAATCACCATGGCATTTTTGAATTCAAGAAACTGAGGACAAATGAATTTGAATTTAAGTGAATATTTAAATAAGTTGTTACATGTTCACAATTTCTTCATACCCAAGTTTGAATGATTATTGCCATACATCATCATATTCATCACCTCAATAATCATGTATTTACACCATCATCATCAAATAAAATTGAAAAGAAAAACAAATGAGGTGAATTTCATTTTCAAGTTTGTCACTACAAGCATATACAGTTTCCATATCATTTCATATAAAAATCATGTAAAAGAATACATATTTTTTTAAAGATAAAACAAGCATACATAAATTTAAGATAATAAATCTCTTTAAAAAATACAACTCCCAAAAAAAAATAACACATTGAGAATCAAATGGTTTTTTTATATAATATAAAACTAAATTTAAAATATTATTATTTTGTATTTTTTAGTTTCTCTTTTTGTTAAAGTTTTATTTAACTAATAATTTAAGAGTAAGTAACATAAAAATATGTTAGTAGCAAATTTTTTGTTGTTATTTTGCATTGCATTTTTTCTTGATTATAATTGGATTTGCCTTTTGCTTGTTATGGAATTAATGTATCTATGGTTTTAGGTTTGTTGATGATTTTCCTTTTGTAATTGCACATTTTTGGTTAATATAGATTTTTAATAGGATACTGTATTCTTTTGTTTTTTTAAAAATAAAATAAAAATGTATATTTTCTATTTTTATACTCTACTATTTTGAACAAATAAATAAAAAAGCTATTTATGTTTATATATAAGTGATTTCTCTGACTAAAATTTGCGATTTTGTCATTCTCGGTTTCTTAATAGCTAAGCTGAGTACATTGCCGACTCTGTCAGCCATGGCGTTTCCCTACATGGAAGCTGTTGTCGGTGAGCACCTTCGTTTCATGCTTTCTTTTCTCTTTTTCAATCAGGTCATGTTATTGCCAATAAAGTTTCTGTTTTTCTTCGAAATAAATTTTTGCAATGATTTAGGGTTTAGGGTTTAGCTAGCTTCTGAATTCTGGGTTCGTTGTAAAATTTGGCCCCTTTTGTTTGATGTTCGAATTGAAAATGGTGTGCTTATTTGGCCTCTATTTTAGGTTGAAACTAATACGCATTTCTGTTTTTGTTATTGTATGATGATTGGAGTTTTATTTGAAAATGGAAATTTATTTGGTTTCCTACTGTTTATGTTGTCTTGTTTCATTTCTTTTACCATGTTTTGTCTTTTCTTGTTTCTAGTTAAGTATAGGTTGAAATGAAATACCTATACAGTTGTGATTGTGTAGCTGATATGCTGTTTTGTTTTCAGGGTTTATGATATTGATGTACATTTTTGAAACTTACTTGGATTTGCGACAACACTCGGCACACAAACTTCCTTCTCTTCCCAAGTCTTTAGAAGGAGTAATCAGCCAAGAGAAGTTTGAGAAATCTAGAGCCTATAGTCTTGATAAGAGGTTTGTTCTTTGTCGCATGGTAACATGGTTTAGTCTTAAAGTTTCTTCTAGGATTTTTCTCACAATTGCATATTTCTGTTACTGTTTTTTTCATTAGCATTTTTACACATGGCCATTTCTGTATTTTTGCAGTCGCTTCCATTTTGTTCACTCGTTTGTGACAATCCTTACAGACTCTACGATTTTGTACTTTAAAGTATTACCATGGCTTTGGAAGGTGGGGATTTGGTGCAGTGTTTATGAAGTATGAACTCATATGTTCTCAATTTAAAATTGCTGTTGGATGTCTATTGATTGCAGAAATCAGGAGATTTTGTGACACTAGCTGGTCTCAATGCAGAAAATGAAATACTTCACACCCTTGGCTTTTTAGCTGGTTTGATGATCTGGTCACAGGTACGTTTTTGACATTTCTTATTGTTTTGTTTGAAGCTGAAGTGACTTTGGATTTGTTGAGATCTATGTTATTGGGCTACATTTGCAAATCAAATTCCGGGTGTGAGGTTGGTGTTGAGATTTTAAATCGACTAAAGATATAGTTGAACTAGTCCTTATAGAGCTTGAGTAGTTCTCCCCCCTTAACTTTGCTTTTGGGGTTCAGTTAGTGTTTAGCAAAAAATTCTAAGATGGCATCAAAGCCTATTTTTAATTTGTTATTTGACCGCCCACTTTTTTCCACGCTCTAGATGTCTAGGTATGAATTAGTACTATGTTGAGATCTATTTTAAATTTGTTATTTGACCACCCACTTTTTTCTGCACTCCAGATGTTTTGGTATGATTAATACTATGTTGAGATCTCTAGTATTGGACCACCACTTCTATCCATGCTCCTGATATCTAATCTTAAGCGTGAGCTGGTGTCTTTTGATCCCACATTGGCTAGAGTTATAATTTAAGAATTTGTTATAAAACTTAAGCAATTTGACCCCTTGAGTTAGCTTAGCTTTTAGGCCTAACTCATATTTGGGTGCTCTGTAATCCAATATTCCTCTATTTGATATCCTCCGGTTTTACTACATGTTCAGCTTCACCAGGACTATTTGGGTGCTCTGTAATCCAATATTCCTCTATTTCATATCCTCCGGTTTTACTAAATTTTGGTATTGGAGGATCATTGGTATATACTAGTTTTCTGGTGATTGTGATAAATGTTAATTGGAAATCATTATCAATCTTAATATCTTTATTTCAATGAAATTTATTGTGCTCTTCTACATTTTGTGCAGACAACTGATTTGCCCTTTTCTCTGTACAAAACTTTTGTGATTGAGGCCCGTCATGGTTTTAATAAGGTTCACATCCTTCTTTCAAATTTACCATCTATCTATGATCTCATCTACCTTTCTAGTTCACTACATTTGACTTGATTTAATATCTCATTTTTTCTGTTATTAATAAGTTTATCTGTTGTAAAATTCATATTTGTTTGCAATCTTACATTTTTATCATCTTTCCTACAGCAAACACCATGGTTATTCTTCAGGGACATGATAAAAGGCATTTTTCTTTCCATAATAATTGGCCCTCCTATTGTGGCTGCAATCATTGTAATCGTACAGGTAAAATCCCACATATATGAAAATATCTGTCACCTACTTGAAAGCTGAGCTTTAACTAATTTACTCTGTCTGTCTTAGCTCTTCTTTATTTACAGTTACTTTTGGCTGTGATATTTACTACTTTCTGTTGTGTGTTCGTTCTTCACTTTATTAGCTATCCTGGAATCTCTGTATTCTCTTTTAAGACTTGTTTGAATTTTTGCAGAAAGGAGGTCCATACTTGGCCATCTATCTATGGGCATTTATGTTTGGTCTATCTCTTGTGATGCTGACTATTTATCCAATTCTAATTGCTCCACTCTTCAACAAGTTCACTCCGGTGAGAATTGCTGAATTTTCAATTTTATTGACAAAAAAATGATATATAATATTGCATGTTCTTTATTTGTTTATATTATGATATATGGTTTATTACATTAAACTCTCATCGAAGTTACACTCAATCCTCCTTGATTGAATAATTACTATCACACACCACCTTAAAATAGACATTGAGAATACTTGGTCATTTGAGTGAAATGTCTAATTTAGCCCATCATAAAAACACACCAGACACTCTTTACTCTCATCTGTTGCAAAAGGTTTCCGTTTGGTTTAGGTGGAGTTTGCGTTGGCTGATAGAGGTGGTCTACTAGTTTTGGATTGATGAATTGATTTTGTAGAAAAATGGTCTGTAGTCTTGACTTGTACGGTTGGAGGATATGGGGAGCTTATGTTTTGAATTATGAGATTAAGAATAACACTTTTTATGAGTTTGAGAAATAACAATGGCACACTTGGCTTGTAGTAAGAAGGGACCTAGTTCAATTTGAAGGATTCTTTTTAATTTTTAATTTTTTTAATTTTTAATTTTTTTAATTTTTAAAAAATACATAAAGAGTCAAGAACAACAGTAGTCCTTTGGCTTGATGGCATACAATTCACAGCATTGGCACAGAGATCACTGATCTGCTGGGGTTGGTTAGAGTGACCTTCTGTTTTATGCTTGTTGCTGGGAAATCGTTATGACCTTTTTGGGTAGATGATGTGGGTCTGATTCATCTAACATCGGGGGCATTGTTTTTTTATGTTGGGAATTTCTGTGCTGTAGATTGTTGCACGAGATGTTTAAAAAATAGAGAGGGTGGGAATTTGGGATAGTGGGCCAGGGAGGTTCTGGGAGATGCCGAGGTGCAACGGTGGTAGGTCCAGGAGGCAGAAATGGCTGTGGGGGAGGAGTTAGAGTTTGACCTGTATAAGGAAGAAGTTGTCTAGGGCAAAGGCACAAAAATCTTTTACTCTATTGTTTTTTAAAACTGAAAAAATCGCAAAACAAAAGTCACATGTTTGTATATATAATTTTTGAAATTAACAGAGTTGATTGTGTTTTATGAAACAAGGAGGGTGTAACTGTAATAAGTAAACACCTCAAGGACATTATTGCATCTTTTGGTTTAATTTCATATCTATTCCCTCATATGGTTTTCTGGTAAACAGCTTCCAGAAGGTCCACTCAGGGAGAAAATTGAGAAACTTGCTTCCTCCCTCAAGTTTCCATTAAAGAAGTTGTTTGTTGTTGATGGATCCACAAGATCAAGTCACAGCAATGTAAGGAATAAATTCAAATCCAATAGTTTCACTTACTGTTATGACTTATGATGATGCATATTTATATTTTATTCTAAAATACGTTCTCACTCATATAACTTTAATGTTCATTCTTTGCTTCTCTATTTCTATAAATACTCTGCAGGCTTATATGTACGGATTCTTCAAGAACAAGAGGATTGTGCTTTATGACACATTAGTTCAACAGGTTAGGAAATACTAACTATAGGAAGTTGTTTCATCTTTCAGACTATTATATTGTTCAGAGTTTTAGAAGAGTAGTGGTTCTTTGTGAATGTTGTATTATCCTTCTACCAAATCTTGCTAAATGAATACCTATATTTTGTCACTCCAATTGTGAAAGCTAGGCAACATTGGTTTGAAACATTCTTTACTCAAATCCTAACTGGATGATTGTACTCATAAATTAATGAATATTGCATTATATGTGAAATACATAATAATACTGTCATGCCTATTGTTTTCTGATGTATTATGTATTGATTCTCATATGCGCAATGCTTCTCTTTTAATCTATAAGAATGGAGCAATCGAAGTATGACGAAAGGGGAAAAGCTATTAAATATGTGGTTGTTTTCCAAGAATTATTGTGGTTCCATCTTTTCGTTATTGTCTCTTTATTTACTGAATCACAGCATGATTTTGATCAAGGGCGCATATTCCTATGCACATTTCCTTTAAAAATTTTCGGATTTTTTTAGGACAGAAAATTAACTATCATAAATTTTCAGTTTATTTCAACTTTCAGTAGCATTACAATTATATATATATAAGTAGTTTATTGTCCATATCAAATCTTCTATGCAAGAGTTATGCCTATTTTTTTTAGATACAATTGATCTTTACATTATAAATGCTGTTATGCAGTGCAAAAATGATGAGGAAATTGTTGCTGTTATTGCCCATGAGCTTGGACACTGGAAGCTCAGCCATACCGTGTTCACCTTCATTGCCATGCAGGTTTGTATAATAGCATTCATGAATTGAAAATGAATACTTAATGATTTGCCATTAGCCGTGATAAATAAATTGTGTTGTTCACTTTCTGCTACTAACTGTAAACAATTTAACATGGCAAGGCCAAGTTGTACTATGAACTTATAAATTAAATGAAGTCCTCTCTTGTTTTCTGTCTCTGTCAAACACATTGCCTTTGCTCTAATTTTTTGGTCATGTCAATGAAGAGTTAATGTTTGAAGGACAGGGCATTGTAATATTTGGTTACGAGATAATGTTTAATTATTTAATCTATTGATGTTTTTGTCACATATTTTTCTTAAAATCTGATGTAGATTCTTACACTCTTGCAATTTGGAGGATACACAATAGTGCGGAATTCAACTGATCTGTTCCAAAGTTTTGGGTTTGATTCACAGCCAGTTCTCATTGGACTCATCCTATTCCAGGTGCTTTTTAACATTATGGTTTACCCATCTATATGTGAAAGGAAAAAAATGTTTTCCTGATTTCTATTTCAATAAACATCTTACTATACCATATGATTGAGATACACTGTCAAATTTGTGTGCTAACATTTGAATAATGTTCTAAGCATTCAAATTTTAATGCCACAAAGAGTGTACTGGTTAAGAAGATGCAATTGTTTTTGCCTGCTCTCATTCATTGCTACTATGAAATTCAATCTAGACTTTGTGGCTTAAACGTGATGGTTATATTTTTTAGGGAGTTTCTCAATGCACCTCCTAAAACACAAGTGGTTTACCGGAAGGATTCTTCCGGTAGTGTATTTTAAATAGTACGATGGTTATATTTTTTTATCGGCTTGAATGATCCTAGTTTATCACACTAGATTAAAGACTTGAATAGAGCCATTGTATTTATAATCCTCAGCTTACTTGACAAGTTGTATATTTTGGGCTACCCGGTAAAAATTGAATATCAAGGGCAGCAAGTGCAAATGCCTGAATGTGTTGCAGTCTTCTCTTTTTTTTAATAGATAGTATCACAGTCTTCATATAAATTCTTGCTATTGCACTCATGGCATAGACTTATTCTAGAGTCATCACAACTATAAATCCTTGCTATTGGATATCCGTAATATTAGTACCACTAGTTTCATGAAGAATGCCAGGAGTGTTTCATTTAATGCAATTTGCAGGAGGCTCAAAGTTTGAACCTCCATGCCTGTATTCCTTTAATTTCATTCATCATGCAAGATTTTATTTCAAAAGCATTAAAATCCTCTTCCCTTACTTATTTGCAGCATACGGTAATCCCGCTCCAGCAATTAGTCAGCTTTGGTATGAATCTTGTGAGCAGATCATTTGAATTTCAGGTTACAAATCTCTTCTTTCTTCTCCTTTTCTATCTTTGTTGGGGTTGAAGATGGATGTGCTAAAAATGACGATGTATCAATTTTTCATGTCATTCAATCCAATTACATTGCCCTATTTCACTGTACCCTTTTTTATTTCAACCAAAGCCAAGCATGGACTTGAGTCTCATGCAATCTCATTTTCCTTCTCCATTTGACTTTGTTTATTTGTATCATCCAATGCAGGCTGACGCCTTTGCTAAAAAGCTTGGATATTCATCTTCGTTGCGAGCTGGTCTTGTGAGACTACAGGTAATATTTCAAACTCTGGTTTGCCTCATTTTCTTAGTTTAGTGCTGTAATAACATTATTTACTGTCCTGTGTTTTAGGAGGAGAATCTGTCAGCTATGAATACAGATCCATGGTACTCTGCTTATCACTATTCTCATCCTCCCCTAGTTGAAAGATTGGCTGCACTTGACATACCAGATAAGTCAGACTAGTGCAAGCAAGCAAACTATAGATGAAGAGTAGCCAAAATTCATTGTATGTTTGTACCGCAACTTGCAATGATTTGAATGCTGTAATATGACATTTGTGTTTAGTTGCTTGTTTTGCACACACCCAGATAAGCGTCTCGCCGGATTATAAGTTAATACACTACAATATGTAGCGACGTTATCATATGAGTAGTAAGGCTTATCTTTTAAATCCTCTAACTACATTAAAACCACGAATCACTCTACTCTTGGAATGTGTGGTCAGCCTTAATTGAGTTTTTGAATTTGATATGAAAACTTTTCAATTACAACACTGCAAACATTTGTTTGTTTTAAGCAATAACTATGTTAGGAATGCTTGGAATTAAGATACCTTGGAGTGGAGACTTGGAAGACGTTAATGGTATTAAGTTGACAATAAATGAGAAAAAAGTATGAGCTAAAGTGTTCATGAATTTGAAAATGTTCATTAAAGTTCGAGGGAGAGCACATTTTAGTAGTGTTTATACATTAAGTGGACAAATTGGGTTGGGTTCTAATTGGTACCCAATTTTGTAGTTGGGTGACAACACCACCATGAAACAAAACGTGCTCTGTGGCCGACTTGGTCCAGTCCGGACTTGATCCAATTTTTTTGATATTTAGAAAATTATTTAAGAATACTAATTAATTTATTAATTGTGTGTAATGTGAATTAGTTAATTTTTATTATTTAATAGTAGTGTGTCATAATTGAAATTATGAATTAATAATTACTATTAATTAATTAATGATTGATTAAGTGCATAATGACTCTTTTGAATGAGTTGGTTTCACTCTTATGGTTTTTTTTCTTTTACTTTTACCTCCTACGTTTTCTCTCTATCATAACAAATCCTAGGCTATACCTAGTATCTCTCGTTTTAGTTGAAACACATTTCATATTCTAACATTTTCGAAATCTCTTCTCCTTCTCATTCTCTTTATTTAAATTTTTTCTGTTATGATTAACGAGTAGTTTAATGCACAACCGTCGATTGAAATTATTTTTAGGTACGAGTGGTTTAAAACATCATTTGAAGGTGTATTTCTACGAACAATTTATTATAGTGCAAGTGATAATTATATTTTTGAGCAAGTTGTTTTATTTTGGAAACGTCGTCGAAACGTGACCACATTGCATAATTTTATGCGACGCGTCCCAATAATTTTTTTATTTGGCGAATTTTTTAAACCGAAAAACAATAATTTTAAGATGATTTACCATGGCTACTGAGAAAATTATCGTTACTATTGCTACTGCGAAAATAAGGTGCCGGCAAAACAGAAGAGTCGCCACCTTTCGTTATTTATCCCTCGGAACGGGAAAGGAAACGATCGGAAAAATCTGACGAAAAGGTATAAGACAAGGTCATCGCAACCATTGTCTGAGTTCGGGAGTCGGTTACGCAAGGGGAAGGTATTAGCACCCCTCACATCCATCGTACTCGATGGGATCCACGCTTGTTGTGTTTATCTGACGGGTTGGTTTTATCTATCTACCTATCAAGGCTGGCTTAAAAAGAAAAGAAAATGACTCGGCAAAGCGTCGCACTTTATGCCTACGTATTCTCATCAGAGAATGAGAAATCAGAGTCAACGTAGTTCGACTAACTACGGGTTACGGGGAAGGTGGCTCGCCAATACGTCAGTATTGTGCATACGTACTCTCAACAGGTATGAGAGATCAGAGCTTACGTAGTTCGGGATAATACGAATTACGGGGGTTCAGATTCATCTGTTTTATCGAGTAGGGTTAACAAACAGTTCCAGCAGTTGGATGTACGCAGCTCGACCCTTGGAGACTTAGGCATTACCGTTTGCGGTAGAACTGGGAGTTAACGACACTCTTTACTTCAGAAAAGCTTCCTTTGCATTATGGGCCCACGGGGCAAAAAGGTTTGAGGTTTGTTTTCTGTCTTTTACGAAAGAACTGTTTTTTATGGATGTTTGCAACCAATATCGAACTAGAGACTATGACCTGAGAGTGAATGCGTCGCATGTCACCCAAAGGGTGCCATACTAAACATCCAAACTGTTGAAAAGAAACTCTCCAACAATCCTTTCTCAGATAGCTTAAGGCTCGTAACGTACGACGTCAGTTAACCTTTATTACGGTATTTTGATTTGTTTCAAGATGAGAAGAGAGAACAGGCTCAACTAAGGGGAGACTATCAAGTCCTAAGGTTGTCATGCCAAGGATTCATCCTATGGTTGAAGTTTGAAACAGGGAACTCCTAGAAGTTGTCATGCATAGGTTTCAACCTAAAATTCTATCATCACTTCCTCATCAAAGGAAGTGAGATTCCTAGGGGATCATGTCAATGGTAAACAGAACAGATAAAGCATCAGCTTAAACAGTAAACAGTAAACGACTGTAAAATGCATGCACTGCAAGTGAGGGAGGAAATGTGTGTGGGACATCAGCCTCCACAAGCTCATCTCGACCTCATACAGAAGAAACAACATGCTATCAAGCAAAATACAATAACTACAATCGTACGGAAGAAATAACATGCTATCAAGCAAATCACAAACCACATAGGCAAGGGAGTTGGGCTCTACCGAATACCAGCAAGCAAAGCCATACAGTAAAAATACAAGCAGAGGGAGCAATCCAACCTCTAGTGCAATCATGCTCCTAGCTTGAATCAATCTAAATATGAACTTATTCTAATGCATCAAGCAAATCAAACAAGGCACATCAATACAATTGCACAACAAGAAAACAGACAGGCAAAGAAAGCAGATCAACCACTCCTACAACTAAGCCCTCTTCTGACAGCAGTTCAGTCATCAGTCTTCAACTGCTCCTTAGGGCTATCATCTTCAATAGCAAGTGTCAACTTGCTTCTAATACATCCACATAAGTATCAACTTATTCTCTCTTCCTCAAGCCTCAGCTCTTCAGCAAATTCCACCTTCAGGCTTCACTCCTAATATCAAGTATCATCTTGCTCTTCCTGATCTACAAGCTTCAGCTCCTGAGGGTAATCTTCAAACACAAAGAAGTATCAACTCCTAGCCTCTTCAACCTTCTAACAAGGAACTTCATCCTCTAGCAAGGAAAAAGATTCATCTGACAAGAGCAAAGTTTGGATGATTGACAGCAGAGTGAAGACCAAAGGACACCACTAAGCCTCCTATCATCAGAGAAAGGGACCCTCAAAGGTTCTACCAACTTGTAAAGAGCCACACATCCTACCAAAGTAGGGATGAGGCCTTTACAAGGGACCTTACATCATAGGGAAGAATGGAAGTGATCAACATCTTCCATGTTTATGAAAGAAGAGAATCTATCTAGAAGCTCTGCCTACAAACCCTAATCTTAACACCTAATCAACACTACACCAAAAGAAGGGAAGATCTTCACATCCAAGCTTCTTCAAGCAATCCAATGCATCTTCAACATGCCTTCATCATCATCCAAGAGCAAGAGAGACAAAACCCTAATCTAAGGGAACTAAAGAAGTCATTCTAGTCAAATTAGTGCCTTAGAATCATCTAAAACTAGCACCTAAACTAAAATCAACCAAAAATAGTAAACTACCTTGTAAATTCCTACAAATATTCCTAAGGGACCCTAATTCAATCATGAATCTACCACACAAAAATCAGAGGTTGAATCATTCACCAAGTTCTAAAAATAAAATCTAAACCACAAGGTATCAACCATAAACCCTAAAAATAGAGCTCTTAAGGTTTCAACCTAAAACTACCACTTGCATTCATCACAAAAATGTGAGAAAAATCTAGGAGGATCATGCATATCTATGCTAGCTACACAAAAAAAATCAAGGCCAAAATCATCATCACATGATCAAACCAAATTCAGCAAAATCAAGCATCAAACATGATTATTTTAATGTCAATTAAAATGTAAAAATGCCCATAAAATCAGAAAATGCATGGAATATTAATATTTTTTATCTAAAAAAAACTAGATTCAATCATGAGTCCATAGCAAAAAGAATGGGATTAATTGAGTTATTTTTCCATTTTTTTATGAATTTTCCAATATCCATGTATGAAATGAAAAATAAAATGAAAATCAAAAGAAAAATGATAAGCGCACGGTGTGGATAGCAAAAGAAATCAGTTCAATATCCAAACTGGGCCATAAGGGGGGTGTGGTTATCAACTACTGACTGAGCCCAAAACCAACACTTAAGTGAAACGCTGCGTTTCACATTGTTCAGAGTCCTTCACAAACTCAAATCAATACTTGGCCGTTGGATCTTCATCTGGTCAAAGGTCTCAGCCCCATCCAATGGCTCTAAGGTTGTCTTCAACCTTTTGAATCTCTGAAACTCGCGCGCAGCCACGGCCACCGCCGGTGGTTCTCCGGTCATCACTCCCAACCCTAACTCTCTCCACAGGCCTCCATTCCAAGAGGTCTCTACATGAATCTTGCCCCAATTTTCACAAGGAATCTTCCTATGCCATTTAATCATGCTAACAGCTCAAGATTCACAAGAACACCATCTCAACCGAAAATGGCAACAACCCTAATTGGTCACTAATCTTCAAATTTATGATCCAGAAACCTTCCTACACCATTCTACTATGCATCTACCATAACAATTCCTCTTAATTCTACTTAATTGAAGCCATAGAACAAGAACTGCATACCTGGTAAAATTGAGCAAACAGAGTGGTTGAATCTTCAAATCAACCTTCAAGAGCTTGCAGAATCCTTCACTAGCCTCTAACCAAACTTCTGTATGCAATGAAAAGAGTTGAAATGCTCTGGATTCTTGAAACAGATTCTGAGTTGCAGATGAAAAACTTCAATGGCTCTCACACGATTCTTCACCAATCTTGCTCAATTCTCCATCTGGAATCATCCACGAATGCTAGAGCAAGCTTCTGAGATCAAAATCTTGGATTGAAATGGCTTCAATCCTTGTAACCGATTTTGATTTGCAATGAGAAATTCCAAAGTGCAATCTCACTTTCCTCTCTCAATTCTCACCAACCTTCAC